TCTCTCTCTCTCTCTCTCTCTCTCTCTCTCTCTCTCTCTCTTTGCATTATATATTTTGAATAATATACGTATAAAAAATGAGAAAATCTAAAATGGTCTTTGCGATATTTTTTCCAATTTATCTTGAAAATTTACTACGATATTATCGATATATTGTAATAAAATAATAAAATTCAAAAAATTTTAAAGTCTGGCAGATCCACACATCTTTCTTTGGGAAAGACTACAAAGCAGAACGAATCGTGTATTTGAATTGGTATGAAAAGCTAAAAAGTGTTTACGAGTTACACGTTGGGATAAGCGGACGACGCGTTCATTGATTGCGCATCAATTGCCGCTTGTCGGCTCTCGATACAAAGTATAGTTGTTTACTGACGTCTCTTGTGGTATCAATCGTAGCTACTCCGGGGTGCGTACATACATACATGCACAAGTTCAGTGTTTATCTTTCGGCGCCATTGATCCGTTATCTGTTGCGTCGACATTACCAATAGATATTCTTCCCGCTCATTTTTGTGCGATAACGCTATACCCTGCACGCACGCACGCACACACGCAAGAATGTGCACACGTTCAAAAACGCGAGGAGATAAGCACATTTTTAACGTTTTACTTCGACCCATGGCCACAGAGCGCAGCAAAACCTACATTTTTATATAATATATACTTGTCAATACTTGTACAGTACAATTAAGTCTTTGGCTATGTAAAAATGTTACAATTCCCTCCTCTCTCTCTCTCTCTCTCTCTCTCTCTCTCTCTCTCTCTCTCTCTCACTCACTCACTCACTCACTCGCTCCCTCGCTCGCAAATTAGGGTACAATTTTGCAAGATAGGAATATCAAAAATTAAATTAGAAAATCATAGCAATATCGCAACGGTATTGCACAACACATTTGTATAAATATTGTTTTATATTGCGAAGTATTTCTGCAATGTTTTTGCAGGTTAAATGAGATGAGTAGCACGATAATCTAACAAGATACGGATAACTCTTTTTCTTAACTTATTACACCAAGTTGACTACAATTGTCTCGGTAGTTAAAATTTATCTAATAAAACCGATGTTTTATTATGCGTGCTGCTTCTATACACGACTAAGTATCGAGATGCGAATTGAGGAGCCGAAATGAAAACGCGTTGATATATTGCGCGCAAGTAATAATGAAAAGTTAACCAAAATTACAATATTTCAACAGATTTCCCGTGTAGGCAAAATTGATTTTTGTTAGATCCAAAAAACGATTCATCGATCGCTATAATAATAGCGCCTAATAACGACGATCGTCGTGTCGTATTGGTGTCGCGCGACTCGCGCGGCGCGGCAGGCAGTCTATTATATTGTCTACGCGCGTCTCTTGTCTCCCCGCGCTCTCATATGTGTGTTTACTCTCCTTATTAAAGTCATTAAAATCATTAATAGAACAGAAGTAAGTTCGGGCTTGGGGCGCGTTGCCTAAACGCGCGAGTGATACCACAGATACCAGGCACGTCGGCACGTCTGGCGTGGTACGTGCACGAGCTGTCGCGCTACGAATGCTACGTTGACTACGATGAGGCATTTACCCAGGTTTCGCTCGCATGGCGTTTTGACGCGTCCCGCATGATGTAATGATTTTTTACTTTCATCAGCTGTTCTTTTCTGTTCTTTTCAATTTCGATATATCTCCGAGAATCTCTGCAAAATTTAATGAAAATAAAAGGGAAACTGGATGGTTGTAATTGCATTGTAATTTTCTACTTATTGTTAGACGTACTTTGGCACGTAGACAAAAAATTTCTTTTAACTTTTAACGTTTACGTTATCAATTTTTACAATTGCAACGTAATGAATCGTAAAAGAATATTATTGCAATGACAAATTTGTAAAAATTGGCGTTTTACAAAAAATGACATGAAAATGTATAAATTTATAAACATTTCGTTGAAATTTCCTAATTGTGTTTGTATAGTATACTACGATGTTTTACTCTGTTTAGCGTTTAGCACATACCGCACGCGTCGAGATAAATAAACAAAATCGCTTTCTTTACGAGCGAAAGAATTAAAAGCAATTAATTATATGTAAATGTGCTTTGCTTCTAAATGTACTCTTGCTGAGAATTTTTATGTGTTCCTAAAATTACAGGCTTCTTATTTATTGCCCGATTATCTTTCGAATGCGTAAATAACTACGCGACACGTGCAGGCGTGTGTTTATCAGTGACGACTATATATATCGTATACGTATATGTATATGTATAGAACGTCACTCGTGCCAAAGCGAGTTAATTCTTGTATGAAGTCCTACTACTTAGTCCTGGTTCGTGGATCGTCTATGGGAAAAATAAGACGATGATTCGATGTTATTGGTACTCTATTAACGACATACAAGCCATTGGGTTGGTGTTTGCTTGTTTGTTGCCTTCTCATGCTCGCGGTCATGATTAAACGAGCATGATAAACAAATTCCACGTTCATTTAGGCGATTTACGTTTGATAGAAGTGGCTCGTTAAAACGGACATTATTTATCTTCGTTATTGTGCGAGGAAAAACGCAATATATACCTGCGCCATGAAGCGCGCGAGCGAGCGAGCGAGCGAGCGAGAGAACGTGTGCCAATCAGACCAATTTCTGTAATTTTCTGACGACTTACTTTCATTAAGTAATTTCTGATAAAACATTTTATTTATTAATTCATATAGAAAACGTCACGTGATATAACTACTATCGGCAGACAAATGACAATGAGCGAAATTATCGATCCTCTTCCGCGCGTCACGTGTTTTGGCAAATCTATTTTTCGCATGAATCTTTATTCAATTGCCAAGACGTAAGTAACGAGTCTTGTTAATAAAATCATCCATCCGTTTATCGCGAAGAGATCCGTATTATCCGTAGGCAGCGTAACGCGTGTCGCGTACATTGGTACATTGGTTGCGGATTGCGGAGCGAACCGGTTCGGATTCATGCTCATGCTCTCGCGAAACTTTGTTAGCAAATAGCAGGTCAGGACGGTCAGGTCATATCGAGGGGCACTGCGGGCAGTGGGCACTCATCGTCGCGCAGCGCGGTCTGCGCGGGGAAGGCAAGAGCGGCGAGCCGAGTGCCGAGCTGCCGAGCGCGGTGCGAGAGTCATCGCACCGTGTTTCACTATGTGCAGATGCAGGCACAGGCAGATTATACCGGCGAAAACGCTGGCGAGGCGAAGTTTCGTCGTCATA